GGTGGGGTGGGGTGGGGTGGGGTGGGTGGGGTGGGGGGGTGTGTGGGTGGGGGTGGCTGTTAGGTGGGTGTGTCTGTGTCCCACGTATTTATCGTCTTAAAACATTTCTCACCACAGCACCAAAATACAACGATCAATCTGTACTAAAAGTCATATAAATATAGACGAAAATACATGAAAAATATACCTAACCTAACCTAACCCTAAACCTAACCTAACCAAATAATCTTCCTCAACATCCAAACACCAATGAGCGTTATTCTTTATCATTTATCAATTCTTCATTATTTTATTTTTTTTAGTTATTTATATTGTTTATGATATTTTCGTGGTGGTATCGTCCTCGTCTGTATTAATTTAAACTTTTATCTATTGAGGGAAAAAAAGAAAAATTATGAACATAGTGTAATTGAGGAAACAGATGGCGAGGCAGAGGAAAAAGTTGATTTGGGTGAGATCCTTTGACGTGGGTGGTAAGGTGTGTGTATAAACTGGACCTACCTATGAGAGGGTGGTAGTGGTGGTGGTAGTACTGTAGTAGTGGTGGTAGTACTGTAGTAGTGGTGGTAATGGTGGTGGTGGTGGTAGTAGTGGTAATGGTGGTGGTAGTGGTGGTAGTAGTAGTGGTGGTAATGGTGGTGGTAGTAGTGGTAATGCTGGTGGTAGTGGTGGTAGTAGTGGTGGTGTGGTGGTGGTGGTAGTAGTGTTAATGGTGGTGGTAGTAGTGGTAATGCTGGTGGTAGTGGTGGTAGTAGTAGTGGTGGTAATGGTGGTGGGTAGTAATGGTGGGTGGTGTGGGTGGTAGTAGTGGTGGGTAATGGGTGGTGGTAGTAGTGGCAATGCTGGTGTGTGGTGGGTAGGGGTGTGGTGGTGGTAGTAGTGTTAATGGTGGTGTAGTAGGTAAGCAGGCAGGTGGTGTGTGTGTGTGTGGTAGTGTTAATGTGTTGGTAGGCAGTGAAAAGTGGTGGCAGGTAGTAGGTATGCTGGTGTGTGGTGGTAGTGGTGGGGGTGTGGTGTGGTGGTAGTAGTGGTAATGCTGGTGGTAGTGGTGGTAGTAGTGGGGGTGTGGTGGTGGTGGTAGTAGTGGTAATGGTGGTGGGGGTTGGTAGTAATATTAGTCTGTAGTAATGATGTTGAGACACAAATATGATGATGATGGTACTAACACAGTTATTTGTCATGAAGAACACACTGTTACATACAGGAATATACTGTAACATTACATACACCTATTACATATTAGTTACAGGTATAGACTATAACATAAATAAAGTAACATATTATATAAGGCCACGAAGTATACTGGAGCACTGTGATATATTAGGATTATACCTGGTCATTAAGGAACATCCGGAGTATACCTGTTCAATCACACAATACCAGGTGGTGTGTTGCTTGACCGGAAATAATAATTGAATTCGGAACACTTGAAGATTAGACCACCAGCTTATTTCATCATAAAGATTAACCAACCTAACCTAACCTAACTTAACCTAGCCTAGCCTAACCTAACCTAACCTAACCTAACCCGACCTCCCCAGGTAACGTTAGGGTGTTTAATCATCAGGTGAAATAAACTAGGGTGTCTAATCTTCAGGTAATCCAAATAATCATAGGGCAGACTACTTGACCCTTAACATGGTTATTTTAATACTATCCTCCCCCACCCACCCATCCTACCTCACCCCACCCCAGCCCCACCCCACCCCACCCCAGCCCCACCCCAACCCCACCCCACCCCAACCCCAGAAAAAAAATAAAATAAAAAATAAAACCGTAGGTGAAATCTTGACTACGGTGAAAAATAACAAAGCGATCTAATTTTTTTTTTCCGGGGTCCACATTCTTGCCCAGGGAGTACCCACCTTCTCCTCCAGAACGGATCACTTGTTCACAGACAATTGAAACTTGTTTATTTACGTGTGTGTGTGTGGTCTTGGCAGTGCAGAGATCCGCATTCGCCACCACTGTCAGGAGAGAGGAAGGGAGGGAAGAAGGAGGAGGAGGGAAGGAGGAGGAGGAGGGAAGGAGGAGAAGGGAAGGAGGAGGAGGGAAGGAGGAGAAGGGAAGAAGAAGGAGGGTGAAGGAGGGAAAAAATAGAAATGGGAACCGGTTTAAAGGTGAAGTAAAAAAAAAAAAAAGAAAAGCGTTGATTGTTTGGGTGGAGAGAAGCATTTGTCTCTCTCTGTCTTTCTCTCTCTTTGTCTCTTTTACTCTATTTCCAGTCTGTGTGTCTCCTTGTTTGGGCGGTGAGAAGCATCTCTCTCTCTCTCTCTCTCTCTCTGACATATTACCTATACCTGAATTAATGACTAGTATCTGGGTGACTGAATCTACCTGGCCAAAAGGTGTTCTATAGATGACCTGTTTCGTGTACAAGGGATGAAATAAAAAAAATAATCCGTGTGTTAATTAGTTCTTGAGTGACTTAATCTTTTTTATTTATTTCAGGTTGTTGGAGATAAACGTCCTGAGAATTACTTATTACCTCCACCTGTAAGTGTTAAACCCATATTGTTTTTGGTTTATTTTTTGTTTTGTGTTTTTGTTTTTGTTTCCAGAATACAATATACAAAAGTAGTCAAGGGTGGTAGGTGGGTGGGTGGGTGGGTGGGTGGGTGGGTGGTTGGTTGGAGGTTAGATGTGACGTGATGGAGCCAAGAGGTGTAGCCAAGAGGTGTAGCCAATGCCTTTGTTGTGTTGGTTGGGCGAGAGAGTGATCTGGAGTGATACGTGTTTTGTCGTTTATATACAGTATAATTATCTGTTTATGGTTACGTCTATTGTTACTACTGGTTGTATTGGGTCACTACCTGCTCCTACCTCTTTCTTTACCTCCCTCCTTGCACTTGAACGCCCTCCCCCTCTCTTTCTCTGCCTCCTTCCTCCCTCCTTCCCTCCCTCCCTCCTTCCCTCCCTCCTTCCCTCCTTCCCTGCCCTTACACTCCTCCACCCCCCCCCTTCTCTGTCTACCTGCCTGCTCCCATATATTACAAACAGGTTTAACACACGGTAATTTTGGTGTTGTCTTCATGCCAGTGGTATTACCTGCCTCCTGTGTTAAAGCAATTTGTCGTCTTTACCTGAGCACATACATGTATTGTACCTGCGTGTGTATATATACCAAGATTCAGTAGTGATGTTTTTTTTTATATATCTTCTTAATATTAACACTTCCATATACAGATACACAGTACACCCTCATTTGAAGTTTACTATACTCTCGTGTGTGTGTGTGTGTGTGTGTGTGTGTGTGTGTGTGCAATGAGTAGTTCAACAAATGGCTACTCCTTCCCATCACAAGCACATGCCCACACATACTCATACACCCACCCACCTCCACCTCCACAACATACACACACACACACACACACACACACACACACACACACACACACACACACACACACTGTCTTTACCCTCGTGTCCTCCTGTGTAAATAACTACCAGCCCATTTACAAGCGACAGCGTTAGTTAGTTGGTCCAGAATGACATGTGTATAAATGATGAACCAAACAATTATCAGTCAATAGGTGAACATAGTTAAGTCAACAGGGAGATGACCAAACGTGGCCTGGGCTGGTGGAGGCTGTGTCTTGGTGCGGTCATTAGCGGTGTTTACACAAGACCCAAAACAAAGCATCAGTGCCCAGTGTCACGCCGGCCCGCCTACCTCCTCCTCCTCTTGAGTGTGTTGAACGACTGAACTTCGTCTATCCTCCTCCCTCCTTATATATAGGTCTCTCTCTCTCTGGTCTCTCACACAACATTCTCTTAGTATCTCTCTGTACTGATGTCATTGTGGGATAGATTGGATAGACATTAACGTGACTATGTGAAGTGTGAAGGAATGAAATAAGTTGCATAGTTTATCTCTATGTGGGAAGGACGAGAGGGAGAGAGGAGAGGCCCAGAGGCTGACGAACAGGTTCAGTGTGAGTCATTAGTGTGGCCACATCATATACTGTACTGTACTGTGTGTCCGGGGTATTTTTGGTTCCTATTATTAGCGAAATTGAAAGATGGTAGATGGCTAAATGTTCCTTGAGGCTGTGAGAGAGAGAGAGAGAGAGAGAGAGAGAGAGAGAGAGAGAGTCTAGTAGTGTACTGGCCATGTTACCCGCCTAGACAACAGGAGACTACCAAGCCAGGGACTCGACAGCCATAAACAGAATTGTGAAGGTAACGCGGAAGGACACCGGAACAGGTACAGGGATACTCTTAAGATAAAGTTTAAAAAGCACCTGACCGCCACTCACACCTGACCACCACTCACACCTGACCTCCTCTCACACCTGGGAGATGATCACTCCTCACCGTCACGCTGAGAGAGGCACCCCGTGAGCCGGTGTTAAATTTCGAATTACCTCGACTACACGCTGAGGCGAACCAGCACCAGCGTCGGAAACATGGTACTGTTGCCTCTCCCGCACTAGTTGTACCCCACCACAGGTATATAACACCTGAGGACGCCCCTGCTGGTCCCACATCGGCCTTGTGAGCCATCTAAGAGCTCAACAACGAAGGCGACACCACCAGAACTCATCATTCTGCCATCACTGTATGATCGCCATTCTTGATTCCGAGTAACAGCAAGTAGACGCAGTAGTAGTGTGTGTGTGTGTGTGTTTGTGTGTGTGTGCGTGTTTGTGTGTGTTTGTGTGTGTGTGTGCGTGTGTGTGTTTGTGTGTGTGTGTGCGTGTGTGTGTGTGTGATTAGGATACAGCCAGCCTGACTGCCATCCTTTCCCCACCTTAACCTAAAAAAGAAAAAAGAAAAAAAGTGACACAGTATCCCCCACGACCCACATACTCACTCTATTGAACATGACTGTACCTAAGGACTGTGACTCACTCTGATAAGCTTAACTGGAAGATCCCATAGTGAAGTTTTCCCATAGCAGGAAGACTTGAAAGTGACTGGAGCATGAGTAGAAGACAAAGTAAGTGACTGGGGAATGGCAAGAAAACAATGAGAGTGACTGGAGCATGACAGGAATACTTTAAACTCTTTGAAAGTGACTGGAGCATGACTAGAAGACAATGAGAGTGACTGGAGCATGACAAGAAGACTATGGAAGTGACTGGAGCATTACAAGAAGACTATGAAAGTGACTGGAGCGTGACAAGAAGACTGCGAGAGTGACTGGAGCATGACAGGAAAACATTAAGCTCTATTAAAGTGACTGGAGCATGACAAAAGGACAATGAGAGTGACTGGAGCATGACAAGAAGACTATGAGCGTGACTGGAGCATGACACAGACAACACCTTTACGGATTATGACATGAGGTGAGAGAGAGAGAGACAGGAAGATGAAGTGGAAGTCCTCACCTGTGTTGGGGAGCCTATCATAACGTGACAGGTAAGATGATGACGTTAATGAGTGGGTAGTAATGTAACGTTACTAAGTGGCTGCTGTTCCGTGGTGAGAGAGAGAGAGAAAAACCAAGACTATAGATTATTGATGACGGTGTGTGTGTGTGTGTGTGTGTGTGTGTGTGTGTGTGTGTGTGTCCCTCATCATAAGGTGGAAGTGACCCCTCCACCCCCATCACAAAGTTGCTTAAATAAATAAATAAATAGTTGGCACCGTCAGATGGGTGATTAAGTGCAACAAGACTCGTCCAACCGCGAACCTCTCTTTAGAAAGCATCAACATAAAACTTCCTTAAATTGTAAAGACTGGAGGAAGGTGTGGAGGGGGGTGGGGTGGGGGTTGAGGGAAAGAGGAGAGAGGAGGGGGTTGAAGATGTAAATACTCTTCTCACGCTTCAATGCCTCTCATTTCTCTACCTCTCTCCCCCTCCTCCTCCTCCCAAAATGATCTGAGGAAATAATTCTTCATGGTAATTATCAACAGATCTCATTTGCAGCTCTACAATACTGGTGGCCTCAGTTTACTCCTCTCTTGGCCGCATCTCGCTGTTCTTTTGTTTCTTGGAGTCATGCCGCCATTGTTCCTGCGCACGGATCCGAAGGCGGCGAACAGCAGGGGGGGAGTTATGCGTCAGGAGACCACTCAACACCCCCTTCAGGAAGACGGAGAGAGAGAGAGAGGGGGTGGGAGAGGGTAGGAGAGAGAGAGTTAGAGAGAGAGAGAGAGAGAGAGAGAGAGATTTGGGATGGTGTTGATGAATGGGAGAGAGAGAGAGAGAGAGCCACACGATGCGCCCTTTAATATCCTGTCTTATTTACACCAGGTTTCCGTGATGGCCAGCGGGGTGTGGCTAGCAATTTGTTTGTGTTTATCATACAAAGTGGAACGCTAATTACGTCCGTTCCCCTCAACCAAAATAAAAGACGAACTGAAAACAAAACCAAAAAAAAAAGATGTTGAGTCTATTGTTGAGATGACGAGGCAAGTGTCATCTCTCGCACGTCGTCCTCGAAACTGATGTGTGCTAGCGGTGGAGTCGAGGACGAGGCTTAAGGTCTGGATATGTCTCGTGTGTTTACTTCGTTGGTGTTGAGGAGAGAGAGTCTGAGTCTTTCCTCTGGGTGAGGTCCTTGACTCGACTGCAGAGCCTCCGTCAACAGCTGCGGTAGGGGGGGAGGGACCTGGGGGGGTGCTGACGTCATGGTGATCACTGACTGGGACACACCGGGGGACGTGACCTGGGGGGGGGGGTGTTGTCACTGGCTCTCCAACACTTAGTGAGGTCTGTCTGTGTGTGTGTCGTGAACTAATGGCACCGTCAGCACTGGGTTGTAATAACTCGCTGTTACCAAAATAACATCATCGCCCTGCCGTCACTTACAGGACAGTGGCGATAACAGACTTTTGGCGTGACTCAACCTCGTAACGGTGGTAATGAGTGACCAGGTGTAGGAAGTTGATATCACAGGTAGGGTGATATTATGAAGTGTGTGGATAATTAGTACAGGAAGTTTCAGGTGTGGAGGAGGTCTGTCTTCGGAGGAGCATAACGCACGCACCGACTATTAGACAAAACCGGTCCTTGTGTTTGGACTTTCAGTGATCGTGTGTCAGTGCCTTCTGGCGTTTATGAGACGCCGCTCCTCAAAATTCATGCCAGAAGTTTGTGAAAAGAAAATAGAGAGTTGAGGGGACGGTGGGTCGAGGCCCTCTGAGACAGCCCAGTAAAACACTTAATGATGATGATGATGATGTGTATTATTTGAAGTGTGTTCCTCCCCAACATGTGTTGCACTCCACTTAGTGTACGTAGTGAATTATTATTATATAGGTACACTATATTGGTTGCCCCTCGTGTACGAGGATGGCCGGCCCAAGGGCCACCTAGGCGTGAATTTGTTTAAGGTGTAGAAGCTGTCGCCAACACAACAACCACACCCTAAGTTAACGAGCTGCATGACTCAGTGTCAAGGAATAGTCCGAGAAGACCGGACAACTCGACAACTGCACTGGCTAACCATTACCCCGGAACACGATCAGAAAATCGATTAACATCCAGGTCCCCAATTACTGCCGGGTAGACAGAGGCAAATGGCGTAAAGAAACTTGGTCATCGTTGTT